ACGCAACAATAGGATTAAAAGTCAGAGAAACTAATTGGCAAGTTCTCAAAGGGAAGATTGATTTGTGGGCGTGGCAAGAGAGGTCTAATTTTCTATTTGATAGCCCAGTAACTAATTAAGATTGCAGGCTACAAGTATCATACTTTACCTGAGCGATGACAATACTATACTGCCACGCAGAGAAGGACCAAAAAAGATCTAGGCCTGCCTTTCTCAGAAACGTTGATAAATAAGGTTTTCCGACTGGTTTTGCAGTAAGCAGTTGTGACATGCACGGGATTATTGCGTACAAAGCTATCTTCTGTGCTTTTACTTTGTGCCTCAGTACTTGATGTGAGGTTATTCTTCAAATTATTCCTCAATAAGGAAGTCCCGACAGTGACACTAACTCTAAAGTGCTCGTTAAATATTCTTAAGAAGAAAGTCCTAACAGTGACACTAACTCTAAAGTGCTCGTTAAACATTCGTAAGAAGAAAGTCCTAACAGTGACACTAACTATATAGTGTTCGTTATACATTCTTGAGAAGGAAATTCTGACAGTGACACTAGCTATAAAGTGCTCTATAAACTTTCTGAAGAAGAAAGTTTTAACATTGACACTGTTACTTATCTGCTTGTTTGTTAATTTTCAGTATAAATTCTTTCTGAAGAACTTCAGCGATACAAGTCCTTTCTTAATTAAAACTAGTTTATTCTTTCTTAATACAACTTTTTAGTACACAGAATTACACAAACTAGAGTTGCCAGGAAAATTCATGATCCTTCGAGAAACACCAGTGTGCATGCTCCCAGCGTCGCGTGACTTCCGCTGTCTAACAACACAAACTATATAGTGCTCGTTAGACATTCTTAAGAAGCAAGTTCTGAAAGTGACACTAACTATAAAGTGCTTGTTGAACATCCTGAAGAAGAAAGTCCTAACAGCGAAACTAACTATAAAGTGCTCGTTATACATCCTGAAGAAGAAAGTCCTGACAGTGACATTAACTTAAACTGCTCGTTAAACATTCTTAAGAAGGAGTCCTGAAAGAGACACAAACTCTAAAGTGCTCATTACAAATTCTGAAGTAAGAAAAGGAAATCCGGGCAGTAGCATTCTAATTATAAAGTGCTCATTACAAATTCTAGAGAAGAAGTCCTGACAGTGACACTAATTATGAAGTGCTCGTTACTCATTCTGAATCCTCATTACCCTTGAAGTATTTGACAAAATACACCCCTAAAGATGGAATTCCAAGGATCTTTCCATTAAAAACTACCCCTTTTCTTAATTTTCAAGGATTTTCTGTTTATTATGGAACACTGATTCATACTTGAATATCTTTCATGTTTACATTCTGAGGTAAAACGCATCTGTCATATATACTGTCCTTTCTGATCATTTTTAATTTTCTTGTAGTACGATATTACAACGTTGAATCGAGAAAGAATAAACTAGTTTTAAGCAAGAAAGGAGTTGTATCGCAGAAGTTCCTTGGAAATAATTTATACCGGAAATTAACAAACAAGCAGATATGCAACAACACTTTACATCATGAGCTGTTAATAAACCCAGTAAATAGTCCACATTATGAGCTCTAATTAAATCCAGTAAATGGTCCACGTTATGTTTGTTTTGAATTTCGCGCAAAGCTACACGAGGGCTATCTGCGCTAGCCG